ATTATTAAGGTTCAAGTCGCTAATGTTTTGAATGAAAAAAGAGCAGTAAGAATTCTTACAAGGGCAGATAATCAGATTGTTGAGCAAAGAGCTTCAAAACACGATGAATGTTTGAAATTAATTCAACACATTTTGGAAATTGTCGAAAGCCGAAGGATTGAACCTAGTGTCCTTATTCCATCTTTGAAGGCAATATTAAATTTGGCACAAAGAAGTTTAAAGGAAGAGTAAGCAAGATTAGATAATTTGGACTTTTTTTAAAATTAATGAATAAACAGTATATTTTTGAAGTGTAAGCTTATTTACCTGAAGCTATATTACTTAATATAACATTCAAAGTATTATTGCTATTTATTGGAGAACAAATTTATGTAATTTTCACATGAAAATTGATAAATTTGTATTTCCTTATGATAATCAATTTTTGTATTTGTAGAGAGTCTCCCTGCATGATATCAAGACTTGGCTATAAGTCTTTATCCATTTTTGAAAATTGTATTGTAAATTGTAAGAATTTCTGAATACTACTACTATAAAATATAATTGCTTATCAATGTATATTCTCCCTGCATGATATCAAGACTTGGCTATAAGTCTTTATCCATTTTTGAAAATTGTATTGTAAATTGTAAGAATTTCTGAATACTACTACTATAAAATATAATTGCTTATCAATGTATATTCTCCCTGCATGATATCAAGACTTGGCTATAAGTCTTTATCCATTTTTGAAAATTGTATTGTAAATTGTAAGAATTTCTGAATACTACTACTATAAAATATAATTGCTTATCAATGTATATTCTCCCTGCATGATATCAAGACTTGGCTATAAGTCTTTATCCATTTTTGAAAATTGTATTGTAAATTGTAAGAATTTCTGAATACTACTACTATAAAATATAATTGCTTATCAATGTATATTCTCCCTGCATGATATCAAGACTTGGCTATAAGTCTCTATTCATTATGAGTATGACCCCATTTTTTTACAAAAAGTGCCGAATTGCAACTTTGTCCCAATCTCGATATTTTTTTTAATTGAAAAACGTTAATATCTGATATTTTGAAGTTTGTAATATTTGTTAGTATCTTAAATTATTGAATGCATACGTTTTTTATGTTCTCAATTTTAAAAAAAATTGTGAAGAATTTAGTTTTTTGGAGATGGATGTTTAATATTTGTGAGTGAGAATGCAAGCAGGAGTTTGGTACTTTAAGGCTAGGTTGAGATAGATTTCCCATTATATTATCTGTGAATATATTGTTTGAAAATTCAAGATATAAAAATATATTATCAAAAAATTTTATATTTTTAAATACAATAGGGTGGAAGTATAGTACGATGAGATAGCAATGATATATTTTATAATGGGAGGTAATCTGAAGATAAGTAGCAAATTTTATGCGATTTTGATTGGGAGTTGGAGGGTGTGAGTACTATAGCATGTAATAGTATCTCACACCCTCCAATTCTTCCTATGGCGCCGAAAAATTTTTGGTGAAATGCGACGACATTTCACCAAAAATTTTCGGTGCCATATAGAGAACTATAGTCTGCGAGGTACTGATTCTATCTATGTACCTCGCAGACCATAGTTCTCAGCCAAAATGTCAAAAATTTTGGAAATTCGAAATAATTTTTTTGAGAAAAAATTAACCGTTTAACATTGCCAAAAATCTAAAAAACTCACAATTTTTTTAAATTGATAACCCTCAAACCGTTTCCAATCAATAATTTGAGAGTCTATATGATAATGTAAAAGTTAAAACATTCAAGTATTTAAGTATTTCTTTAAAATATTAAGTTTTTTATTTTTCCAATAAAATTCTAATATCAAATATTTTTATTTAACGATTAATTTTATTTATATTTTTATAGTTTTTTTAAGAAAAAATATTGTTAGGGTTTTATGGATTTTCAATTAATATACAAGATAATTCATGAATGTATATATTTCCAAGTTTTTAAGGACGCAACACTTTACATTTGTAAACTGTCAAAAATGAAGTCACGCTATTTTTCATGCATTACATGCCATTTGTATCTTGTCGATAGTTGTTCTAGTTCTATAGTCATTTAAGAGCGTAATTCTTCGTTTGACTTTTTCAATCACAAAGTCAGCGAAAAATCTCGCTCTTAAATGGCTAAAAACGGTAGGAATGATTTTGTCTGAATGATATTGATGAATATTTTGTTCCACATGACCGAGCTCCCAAGAGACAATCAAGAATTTGGGAGATTTTTGGAAGTTCGGTCATGAGGATTGTACTTGCAGGCCCAGACTATACTTTGGTCAGGGCTTCGTATTTCATTGTTCCCAGGACCGGATTCTCCACTGAAAATATACGTTATTTTTTATTTTTCTATGAAAAAATAGTTTTTCATTTTTATAATACTATATAGTTTACTACTTGATAGATCGTCTATTTTCTATTCCGTATGATTCGGAATCTTTGCATTCCAAAAATTCGTTTTCTGCTTTCAGAACGCGAAAATATGAACCATATGATGAGATAAACAAGAATGTTATGTTTTTATTTATTATTTATTTATTTATTTATTTATTTATTTATTTATTTATTTATTTATTTTTATTTATTTATTTATTTATTTATTTATTTATTTATTTATTATTTATTTATTATTTATTTATTTATTTATTTATTTATTTATTTATTTATTTATTTATTTATTTATTTATTTATTTATTTTATTTATTTATTTATTTATTTATTTATTTATTTATTATTTATTTATTTTATTTATTTATTTATTTATTTATTTATTTATTTATTTTATTTATTTATTTATTTATTTATTTATTTATTTATTTATTTATTTATTTATTTATTTATTTATTTATTTATTTATTTATTTTATTTATTTATTTATTTATTTATTTATTTATTTATTTATTTATTTTATTTATTTATTTATTTATTTATTTATTTCAATTTTCACCACAACTTTACAATGAGCTAACAAATACATAGTATACTAGAATCAAAATCTCGAGCACAAAAGTGACATTGAATACTTGTAAGTATAGAATTTCCATGTAAACTATTCATTTCTATCGTTTTTTGTAGTCCACATTTCCTCACTCTCGATTTTACTCATAAAAATATTTAAAAATCACTATACAATATATAATATATATATATTTATATGGTTAAAACAATGTTATTTTGCGAGATTTCATCTGAAATTAAAATTAGGGATTTTTTGGGAAGACTACAAAATTGTGCGGCCAAATTGCCACCATTTTGTAAAGTAGTTTTTTGACATACAGTGCAATTGCAGGGGACGTGTTTCAAAAAAAATTTAATGGTTGTGTGAGAGACCTTATTCCCTTACAGGAGCTCCAGAGCTCCCAATCCCTACGAAAGGGAGCTCCGGAGCTCCTGAATCTGTATCAGCAGAGGCCCTTTACCATTTGGGCCTCTGCTGATTTAAGATCAAAGCAGCCTTCTGCTTTTCAGGAGCTCCAGAGCTCCCAATCCTACGAAAGGGAGCTCCGGAGCTCCTGAATCTGTATCAGCAGAGGCCCAAATGGTAAAGGGCCTCTGCTGATCAGAAGAATAAGGCAGCCATTCTACCTCTTCAGGAGCTCCAGAACTCCGTTTCCTCAAGATCAGGAGTGATGGAGTTCCTCACTTTCGATTTGTTAAAGCCTGTTCTTTTGGGAACAGTGTAATGCATGAAAAATAGCGTGACTTCATTTTTGACAGTTTACAAATGTAAAGTGTTGCGTCCTTAAAAACTTGGAAATATATACATTCATGAATTATCTTGTATATTAATTGAAAATCCATAAAACCCTAACAATATTTTTTCTTAAAAAAACTATAAAAATATAAATAAAATTAATCGTTAAATAAAAATATTTGATATTAGAATTTTATTGGAAAAATAAAAAACTTAATATTTTAAAGAAATACTTAAATACTTGAATGTTTTAACTTTTACATTATCATATAGACTCTCAAATTATTGATTGGAAACGGTTTGAGGGTTATCAATTTAAAAAAATTGTGAGTTTTTTAGATTTTTGGCAATGTTAAACGGTTAATTTTTTCTCAAAAAAATTATTTCGAATTTCCAAAATTTTTGACATTTTGGCTGAGAACTATGGTCTGCGAGGTACATAGATAGAATCAGTACCTCGCAGACTATAGTTCTCTATATGGCACCGAAAATTTTTGGTGAAATGTCGTCGCATTTCACCAAAAATTTTTCGGCGCCATAGGAAGAATTGGAGGGTGTGAGATACTATTACATGCTATAGTACTCACACCCTCCAACTCCCAATCAAAATCGCATAAAATTTGCTACTTATCTTCAGATTACCTCCCATTATAAAATATATCATTGCTATCTCATCGTACTATACTTCCACCCTATTGTATTTAAAAATATAAAATTTTTTGATAATATATTTTTATATCTTGAATTTTCAAGCAAAATATTCACAGATAATATAATGGGAAATCTATCTCAACCTAGCCTTAAAGTACCAAACTCCTGCTTGCATTCTCACTCACAAATATTAAACATCCATCTCAGTACAGTATACATTGTGCGTCGCCTGTAGCCTACAGCTACAGGCACCGGCACAATGAAAAAGTGACACTATACGGGCACTAATTATTATGGACGCCATAATGAGACGTGCCTTTAGTGGCGAAGAAACAGCCTGACGTACAACTGGGGGATTCTTATTCGCACCAATTGATATGGATGATGTTCCAACTGATAAGAGACAAAGGATCCAGAAGAGGATCGAGATCATGACAAAGATCATAAGAAACCAAGATCACATTATAAGTAAGCAATACTCGCAAATACAAAGAACGAAGAGAACAATGAAAATGATCGAGTATGCAATAGAACAAAGAATTGAAGCACGCAGTCTGGTGCCTTGGTAACTTCTAAAGATCCCCACAAACAGTTAAGAATAAATACTTTTTTTCACTGGAAAAAAAATGATATTTTTTTATAAAGATAAGTATTTAATTACAGTAGTCAACAAGTGGCTTCTTTCTTTGTATGATGAGTTTGCAGTAATGAAGCGTTCGTGCCACATATCAGACTGCCTTCCCAACTGATCAACTCGAGATCTGAGATCAGAGATCTCTTCATCTTTGTAGTCGAGCTTGGTCTTGAGTAATGTTATGAACTCATTCTTCTGTTGTAGTTCCTCCGCCTGCTTTGTGATCTGCTGCTTTAGTTCCTCGAGAGCTACGTTTGACTCCTCCAGCTGCTTCAAATACTTGTGGCTGGTCTTGATTAAACGTAGAACTCGAGGAGTAGCTTGTGGACCCGTTTTCTTTGCCGTTTGCTTGTGATCGAGATCTGGGATCTTGATCTCGGTCTTCGGACTCTCGCCACCCATCAATATTTCCTCGTCGCCAGAGGACTGTTCTTCAGTCACCTCTGGCTTCTGGATGGCAACAGCCTTAGCAGGAGCTGTGTTGTTCGCTTCCATTAAAAAATGTTGTGCATGAAAAATAGCGTGACTCCACTTTTGACAAAAGTGACACTATTTCTGATGGTTTTGTCATTTATTTGTCAGATTTATAAATGGATAATAATGCTGTAAATCAGATATTAATTAAAAATATTTAAGATTTATGTTCGAATTGAAAAGCAAAATGATATTTTTGAGTAGGTGACAAAAGTGCATACTCTTAAATTAACCTTAAATGTTGATTTTTCGATATTTTCGGTATTAACCTTATTGTAAATTTTTCCGGTGATAAATTTATCACACTGAGGTTATTTTTCCGGTGAGATTTTTAACCTTGATTTAATGAAATGAGTTTGGTAGAATTTACGAAAAAGTGACACTTAAACTTAAATTTCCAAACACTATTTTTTGATTGTATTTTGTTATTTATATATTTTATATATATATGTATATATTTATATATCTATATATTTATATATCTATATATTTATATATGATATATTTATATATTATATATGTATATATTTATATATCTATATATTTATATATCTATATTTATATATCTATATATTTATATATGTATATATTTATATATGTATATATTTATATATGTATATATTTATATATGTATATATTTATATATGTATACATTTATATATGTATACATTTATATATGTATATATTTATATATGTATACATTTATATATGTATACATTTATATATGTATATTTTATATATGTATATGTAATGCATGAAAATTCGGTTCACTTCATTTTTGACACTTTACATATCGGATGTATTATCTAAGAATTATATTATAAAATAATAATTTTGTGTTTTATAAGTTTATTTGTATAAATGGATTCCTTCGCAAACAGCGGGAAACGTTGTCTGAATAGTTTAACATTCAGACAAAGTTTCCCGCTGTCAGAGAGGGAATGGAAGGGTAAGAGGTATATATTCATAATGTATACCTCTTACCCTTTCATTCCCTCGAGAAAGTTCAAAAACTTGGGTGCAATCAGAACTGATTGCACCCAAGTTTTTGAACATTGTATAAGGAATTGTTGGCTATGATGTACTGATCATGAATCAGTACATCATAGCCAACAATTCCTTCGCAAACAGCGGGAAACTTTGTCCGAATAGTTTAACATTCAGACAAAGTTTCCCGCTGTCAGAGAGGGAATGGAAGGGTAAGAGGTATATATTCATAATGTATACCTCTTACCCTTCATTCCCTCGAGAAAGTTCAAAAACTTGGGTGCAATCAGAACTGATTGCACCCAAGTTTTTGAACTTTGTATAAGGAATTGTTGGCTATGATGTACTGATTCATGATCAGTACATCATAGCCAACAATTCCTTCGCAAACAGCGGGAAATTTGTCTGATTCCACACTAATTTTATTAATTTATCTAAACTTTTATCCTCGTCTACAATTTAATCATCAATAATTATCTCTTGTTCTATTTCACTATTATATATATATATATTTATATGATTTGATTTAAAAAAAATAAATAAATAAATTAATAAATCATTTACTCAAATATATCAAAAGTTTTATTTTTATATATAAAGATAACTACTTTTAAAAAAATACCCTATATATTTTTGCCATGTAAACTATTTTTGCCATGTAAATATGTCACTTTTGTCAGAAGTGAAGTGAACCGAATTTTCATGCACAACATTTATATATGTATATATTTATATATGTATATATTTATATATGTATATATTTATATATGTATATATTTATATATGTATATATTTATATATGTATATATTTATATATGTATATTTATATATGTATATATTATATATGTATATATTTATATATGTATATATTTATATATGTATATATTTATATATGAATAAATAATACATCAAACTAGTTTTAGAGTTGATAGTAAGAAGCGAAGAACACTACCAGTAAGATACAGCAGTAGTAGCTGCTTCATGCTGCATTGAGTATTGTTGAATAATTTGAAGTAGTGGTTTTTGAAATCAGCACCCCTATGAGAGCGCTGGCGACCGAAACACGACTAGTAAGATTGTGTATTAGAAACTGCTTCATGCTGTGTTGAGTAAGCCTCGATTTCTTTATCAGACCACCTTTAAATTAACCACTCACATTCTCACTGTGGTCCATCTAAAATTTGTAAACTTTATGACATAAAATTATATTATATGCAGGATCCCACCTATTACTTAATCTTTTTGGAATAAATGTTTTATAATATTTATCGATTGATTGTAATTTTTTGTATAAAAAAGTTTTTTATTTATATTAAAAATATATTCGGTTAATGATATTATCTTATAATTTGTAAATAAATCTAGTAATAAAATAACTTTAATAGTTGGTGTCACTTTTTCGAAAATTCTGGTTTTTTCATTGTAAATTTTTCCGGTGATAAATTTATCACACTGAGGTTATTTTTCCGGTGAGATTTTTATCCTTGATTTAATGAAATTAATATATATAAATTTTATTATTTTTAATTTCGAATGAGTATAATAAAATATTTTTATGTGTTTTTGTTTTTGATGTGATTTGAATGAGAAAGGGACAGACTAGCCCATTGTCACTTTTTAATTTAGCAAATGAACGCTTATGGAGTGGAGTTTTTGGGTAAATCTGATTTGCTTATAAATGAAATAAAATCAAAAGAAACCATATTGGCATTATATTATGCAAAAATAAATGATCTTACTTAGTACTTTTAAAGTTAATTTCAGAAAAAATTTGACACAATGGTATCCGGCACATACAAGTGGTGTACAACCAAAATATAAGTTGGTTTAAACATATATTGCTATATCTCATGATCTTACTTAGTACTTTTAAAGTTAATTTCAGAAAAAATTTGACACAATGGTATCCGGCACATACAAGTGGTGTACAACCAAAATATAAGTTAGTTTAAACATATATTGCTATATCTCATGATCTTACTTAGTACTTTTAAAGTTAATTTCAGAAAAAATTTGACACAATGGTATCCGGCACATACAAGTGGTGTACAACCAAAATATAAGTTGGTTTAAACATATATTGCTATATCTCATGATCTTACTTAGTACTTTTAAAGTTAATTTCAGAAAAAAATTGACACAATGGTATCCGGCACATACAAGTGGTGTACAACCAAAATATAAGTTAGTTTAAACATATATTGCTATATCTCATGATCTTACTTAGTACTTTTAAAGTTAATTTCAGAAAAAATTTGACACAATGGTATCCGGCACATACAAGTGGTGTACAACCAAAATATAAGTTGGTTTAAACATATATTGCTATATCTCATGATCTTACTTAGTACTTTTAAAGTTAATTTCAGAAAAAATTTGACACAATGGTATCCGGCACATACAAGTGGTGTACAACCAAAATATAAGTTGGTTTAAACATATATTGCTATATCTCATGATCTTACTTAGTACTTTTAAAGTTAATTTCAGAAAAAAATTTGACACAATGGTATCCGGCACATACAAGTGGTGTACAACCAAATCTTCGACTCGATGAACTTGTCATCGAGTTTATATTCCAGTGTTGTTCCTTCATTCCTGATTAAGTTGCAAATTAAAGGTCTGGATTCAGAGAGAAGTGTTAAAGTTATCAAAAAAGTCACAAGAGATTTCGAAGAAATGACACAATTTAAAAAAGTCGAATGCATCAGTATGCTTGAAGCTGTTCAGAAAGGTCTGAAAAATGATACACTTGATCCCAACATTGTTTACTCAACATTAAAAATATTATTGCAAAGAAAACATTTGATTTAATAAACATTTAATTTATTATAATTAATTTTTTATTACAGTATAGTAAAAAATGCTATAAATAAATTATTATATTTTATTAAAATGTGACTTTTAATAGTAAGTGAATAAAATAAATCAGGAATTGGGAAAGAAATAAGGTTAATTAAAAATAATGAAAATTACAAGTTTAAGGTTAATGAAAAGTGACAATGGGCGAGTTTGTCCCCCACTCAAGACGAAATGGTGGAAGTGAACTCAAAATAAGAGTAATTAGGTTATTTTGCCGACCAAATATATTTACAAGGCAAAATATCATATTACATGTCAACCTATTATCAGTATGTTTTGATAAAAAAAATTTTATCAAATATCATATTAAAATTAACATCTATATCTATATCAATATCTACACTATAAATTTTTTTATTCAATATCATAGATTTCAAAAATTTATTTCAATTTTAAATTAATTTATGGCTTTCATCAAAATTGTTTTTTTATTAAAAAGCATGTTTCACAATTTTTACGGTTTCTTTCAAAAGTTATAAAAAGAGAGTCAATAAGAAATTTCAACGCTTCAAGAAGGAATCAAAGAAATTGACGAAGTTCCAGAATTTTATTCAACAATTCTTAATCAATTAACAAAAACTATACCGAAACTTATCTTACCATCCAAATCAAATCACATTACATACGGAATAAACATTTAATCTTTTACCATTAAAATTATATTTATACGTTATTTAATTTTTTTACGTCTAAGTTGAATAGGATAATAGCCGAAGATATAAAGTAACTATAGTTTACAAGCTAAGGAACAAATCAGCATTGAAACTAAAAAATGCTGAAATATTATAATAAATTGAAGAAATACTGTGATAGAATACCTAGTTATACTAGATACTATTATAATATGAATTCATTTGTATTGAATATCGATTAAAATAAAATGGAACGTCAATTTGACAGACTCAAGTTTCGAATTAGAGACCAACTTTCATCAGCATAGTATATGTGCGCAAACTACTGCATAATGGTATGCTTATCTTTTCATTTTAAAAAATAACGTATTTGAATAATTTCGTAAAAAATTAGAATTACTCGATATTAAGCATATTGCTTTTCTATCATATATGCTTATATTCTACAATAGTGTTACCAAACATCGGGCAACATCATACGTATAATACAACTTTTTAATACTTGAACGTCAATTTGACAGACTCAAGTTTCGAATTAGA